TCTTGAAGGTTCGGACCTGTCCATCCTTTGGCTACGCGTAGACAGCGACGACCATCCGCGCGTCTACGTGTGCCTCTATAGGTCCCATAGCGGTAATGCCGAAACAGACCGACTCATCGACCACGTCCAAATGGCTACAGATTCCTTGCTACAACAGGTCCCATCCGCAGAGATCGTGATCCTTGGCGATTTTAACGCCCACCACGCCGAATGGCTCGGTTCACGTTTAACCGATCATGCGGGGAGATCTGTTTATGACTTTGCCTTGGCATATGGTCTGACACAACTGGTTACATCGCCTACGCGGATTCCAGATGTTGAAAATCATACACCTTCCCTGTTGGACCTTCTGCTGACCTCTCATCCGGACGGATATCAGGTTTCCGTCGATGCCCCTCTTGGCTCTTCGGACCATTGTCTGATCCGGAGTGTGGTGCCACTCACGCTCCCTTCGCGGTTGCGTTCTGCAGGTTGCCGCCGTGTTTGGCATTACAGGTCGGCGGATTGGGACGGAATGCGGTCTTTCTTTGCTTCCTACCCATGGGGGCGGGTTTGCTTCTCGCCGGATGATCCCAGCGCTGTTGCTGACTCTGTCACTGATGTAGTGCTACAGGGAATGGAACTATTTATTCCATCATCTGTGGTACCCATCGGAGGCAGATCTCAGCCTTGGTTTGGTCGCTCCTGTAAGACTGCATTACGCAGTAAGCAGGAGTGTTATCAAGCCTGGGCTGCGGCTTCGGTGACTCGGGATGTAAACACCAGCACACTCAAAAAGAAGTATAACTTCGCCTCCAGGTCCTTCAAAAGAGTTATTGCCAAGGCAAAGTCAGAGCACATAGGCAGAATTGGCGAGAAACTAGTTCGCCTTCCTTCGGGAACCCGTGCATTCTGGTCTCTCGCCAAGGCTGTCCAAGGGAATTTCTGTAAGCCATCACTACCATCTCTGCACAGGGAGGACGACTCACTGGCCCACGACGCAAAAGAGAAGGCCGACCTTTTAGGCTCCCTTTTTGCGTCCAACTCGACTGTTGATGACGGGGGGAACACACCGCCGACCATCCCGCGGTGTGAGTGCTCCATGCCGGATGTGCGATTCTCACAGCGCTCGGTTCGCAGAGCACTCCTCTCCCTTGACATCCACAAGTCGAGTGGGCCTGACGGAATCCCCCCAATTGTGCTGAGGACGTGTGCTCCGGAGTTGGCACCGGTTCTAACGCGTCTTTTCCGGTACTCCTACTCCCTAGGCGTAGTCCCGAAATCATGGAAGACAGCTTTTGTCCACCCGATCCCTAAAAAAGGCGACCGCTCAGATCCGTCCAACTACAGGCCTATCGCCATCACCCCCTTGTTCTCCAAAATAATGGAATCCGTTGTAAACTGCCACCTCATGCGGTACCTTGAGGATCACCAGCTGATTAGTGATCGCCAGTACGGTTTTCGTCGGGGTCGATCAGCTGGTGATCTTCTGGTCTACTTAACTCATAGATGGGCGTTGGCAGTAGAGTCCAAGGGGGAGGCATTGGCCGTTAGTTTGGACATTGCGAAGGCCTTCGATCGGGTTTGGCACAAAGCGCTTCTTTCGAAGCTCCCTTCCTATGGGCTTCCCGAGAAATTATGCAATTGGATCACCAGCTTTCTTGCAGATCGGAGCATCAAGGTCGTTGTAGACGGTGCATGCTCCGACTACAAGCCTATTAACGCTGGTGTTCCACAAGGCTGCGTGCTATCACCAACGCTGTTTCTTCTGCATATCAATGATATGTTGCAAGCTGGTAGCATTCATTGCTATGCGGATGACAGCACTGGTGATGCTCTATACACCGGCCGTGCCAATATTTCTCGGGAAAACGTCACCGAGTACCGGAACAAACTTGTGTCTGAAGTCGAGTCTTTGCTGGACAAAGTCTCGGATTGGGGGCGACTAAATCTAGTCCAGTTTAATCCTCAGAAGACACAAGTTTGCGCGTTTACCGCTAAAAAGAACCCCTTTGTCGTATCTCCTCAGTTTCAAGGTACTCCCCTTGTTGCCTCAGCCAGTATCGGAATCCTTGGCGTCGACATATCGAGTAGCGTGCAGTTTCGTGGTCACTTGGAAGAGAAGGCCAAATTGGCCTCTAAAAAGCTTGGCGTGCTCAGCAGAGCGGGACAGTATTTCATGCCGGCTCAACGCCTGCAACTTTACAAGGCGCAGGTTCGGCCTCACATGGAATACTGTTCCCATCTCTGGGCTGGGGCTCCCCAGTGCCAGCTTCTTCCACTTGACCGCATCCAGCGCAGAGCGGCTCGAATCGTCGACGACCGAGTCCTTTCCGATCGGCTCGACTCATTGGCACTGCGAAGAGATGTTGCATCTCTTAGCATTTTCTTTCGCATTTACCATGGGGAGTGCTCTGAGGAATTGTTCGGATTAATCCCAGCCGCCAAATTTCACGAACGCACATCGCGGCAGAACTCCCGATACCATCCACACCATCTGGATGATTGGCGGTCCACCACTGTGTGATTTAGAAGATGTTTTCTTCCTCGCACAACTTCCTTGTGGAATTGTTTACCACCAGCGATTTTTCCGGACCGATACGACTTAGGGACCTTCAAGAAAAGAGCCTACTCCTTTTTAAAAGGCCGGCAACGCATCTGCAATTCTCCTGGTGTTGCGGTTGTTCATGGGCGGCGGTAGTCACTTACCATCAGGTGAGCCGCATGCTCGTTTGCCCCCTCTCCTATAAAAAAAAAAAAAAAAAAACGTATCTGGAAATAAATGAAAGAAGAAAGAAAAAGAATGGAAAAGCAAGAAAGAAGAGAAAGCGGAATGTAGAGCTAATTGTCAAATTATCCAACGACAAGAGCATAGCTCATCAATCTAAAATCCATGATCATAATATCACTGGCCTTAGAGAACATTGGTATTAACGTCATTAAAAATGTAATTTTACTACTCCATCGAATATTACGAGCAGTATTTTATAGTTTAATTTGAAGCCGGCCAGTGAGACTATTAAATTAATTACTTATATTACGGATAAAAATTGTATAATAGTACGTAAAACCTCTGTCAAAATAAGATACATTTGCCTCTAGCCAAGTTATCAATAATTATTCAAAGATTTATGTTATTAATGTTAACACTATTGGCGCCAGTTGATTTGAAAGCGTGAAAGTTTTATATGTCATGCCTTTACCTTTTTTATCGTAATTAAATGGAAAATAAGCCAACCTAATAATATATCCTCTGCAGCCTAAGAATGTATGTTTATCCAAAAACCAGTAAATTGTTCGGCATAACTCTTCCAAGCATATACTGGTATAATATATTATGTTAATTTTAATTATCTATATAATGTTAATTTTATATAGATAAAATTAAAATGTTAAACCAGGTCTCCGGCCGTGTCGGATTGCCATTCCATCAGACTATGAGAGTGAGGGAACAGAGAGTACACCAGTACTTACCCTCGAGAATTGTAATCCTGCCCTGCGCAGATGGCTAGTATCCATTGAGACTGGCCAACGTGACCAAAATTCGGTTTTAAGCATTAATATTAATTGACACGTTGCATTCCAAGCTATCCGATAGTGTTAAGGCCAATGTAAATTAGGCTACATTTATATTGGGTGATGTCACTGGTGATAAAATAGGAACTTTTAAATTGAAATACAACATTGATGAAATAGCAAATATCATAATTTCGTCATAAAAAAAAAAACAATCGACTCACACCCACATACGTATTTTGTTTAGGGTTGCCAACTTCTTTTGGTATATTATGTCATTATTCAGAAGAAAACCTTAAAAACAGAGTTTCCTATTAAGATATTACGTTTAATTATAATCTAATATTTTACTCTAACATAATTTCTGTTTGTATTAATTATTGGTCAGAATTATTAAAAATGTATTTTTTTTTAATTTATAAATTATTAAAAACATGTTACGGTAGAGCAGAGACTACTAGATAAAACATTTCGTACACATACAAAGCAGGCTCAATTAGTTTAGCTGTGAACTTACCTACCTATGATGAATTATAATGATGTTAAGGGCTTTAAATAAACAAATATTTTTTTAAACGTAGCAACGCTGAATTTTCATAGTTAAAATTTAAAAACTTGTACAAAACCTGTATTAAGTAAAGATAAAAATAATGACTTGTATTTTCGCTTTCTCGGCTGATGGAAACGAAAGCGTGGGTGATGCACCCAGGTTACAGTGGACGATCTGAGTCACAACAATGGTTAATTTATAATATCTTTAGAAAACTATGAGTAATCCACCCCCATATGAGGATATGACTGCAGAGAGACAGCGGTAAATCTTGCGGAATAACGGTAAAATACGCCGGTGATATCTCCCAACATTGCATAACTTTCTATATACTCTACACCTACTATAGTACTCTATAATTTGTAATAATGTGATAAATCATGATATAGTTTACATTAGCCGGTCGAAATGTGTAGTAAACTTCAAAATATTCAATAAATATTTTTAAAAATAAAAATAAAATGTACACTCCGTGCATAATTTTACGGTAAGTTGTACGCAATATAAATATTAAATATTTTATACAACAATTTATTAATACAATAAAAATAGTTAGTTATCAATATAATTTATTATTTTGCAACATTCGACTATGATGCCTACTTAAATAATTCTATTGATTGTTTTTTTGGTTCTGTTTATAAATCGCGATTTTTCACAAATAATCCATTAGAACGCCAAAGTTAGAATGTAAATAAAATAACATTAATTTAACAAATTTTGACCTTTGATTCCATAAGTTTTCCAAGACATTTATTAAATTATCGATAGGTATCCCTACTATACAATTCATCATCTAAAGCGCATAGGTTCCTTGATAGTCCAACTCCAATCAACACAACAATTTATTACAAATAATTTGCCATTAATCATTTAACTGTAGCTATTTTTGTCCTTATTTGTTATAGCGTAAATAGTTGTTTAATTTTAGCATATTATTTGTTACTAAACTCACCTAAGAAGCTGAGATTGAGCTTTTCATCTATCTCGTCATCTTTAAAGTATTCTAGCTTTTTCGAATTCATCTCAACTTGAGCGTTTTACATACTCCTTTGATACACAGAAGGTCACAAACACTTGTCTGTAACACACCAAACCAATCTTTTAAACACCACTTCAAACACACACAATTAAATTTTATACGTTGTTAAACACAAACGCAGCAGCAGTCACTTTACATAAAATGTCACATTAGTTTGTTTATATCTTTATAAATTTGAATTTAGAACGTTAAACATGGCGGCGCGCGCGCTGACAACCGGCGCTCAATGTTGCACCGACGCGAATGAGACGCCAGTCGATGACGCCGACATGATGTGCCCCGATAGTTTGGAACTTGCACTACTCTAATCTGATAAACTCAGTTTGCCTCGTACGGTTTACTGTTTACAATTCTTGATATGAATGAATTTTATTAACAAGTGTTGATAGATTCGCATTAATACTAGAAATTTTATTATGAACAAGCATGTTCATAAAATACACTATTCAACAACGTAGGTACTCCACGAGATAGTACCTGCCAGACGTCTAGCACCTCGGATAATAGCAGTTGCTGATTTCCGTATAATTTCATTAAAAAACACTTTTAATAATTTTTAGACCCTAAATCTAGTCTCACCTCGGCTAACTTTTTTAACACTAAATGCCAATATAATGCGAGATAAAGTAACCCATGTCAGTATTGACATGAATTATATTACTTTTCATGTGTAGTAAAGTAAGTAATCAAATTATAAAACATATTTCGTTATCTCAATTTCTAATAATTCTGTGTACCAGGCTAATCGAACATCTTTCGAAACTACTCTGGAATTAAAAAAATCGGTCAACGAAAATGGAATAATTTATTATCAGCAAGTATTTGGACGTATCATCAGAAATGACGTTACATTCCTAGACGATGAAATTTTAAACGATTAAGATGTATATCGATAAAGCTCTTAAAATAACGGGAACATCTCTATTAAAATTATCCACAAATCATTTTATAAGGCGTTTTTTTTTCTATTTAGGAACCTAGTACAATGTACTTTAAAATAATAAATACTAGTTAATAGTAGCATATCATTTATAAATGTTAGAACAATGCACTAAAATAAAAATATCTTGTAAGACATACGCTGTGTGTGTATGGTTTTAGTTCTTCTATTATAAATTACATGGTTAATTCTGTTTACACGCTTACATAATGTTTACTTTGAGCACGCGGTGCCATGTTGTTTCTCCCTAATTATAAAAGCTTACATAAAAAAAAACTCTACTATATAACGTGAAATGTTAAGTTATACAATCTTTTTTATAGGATAAGGGTAACAAACGAGCACACAGTCCACCTGGTGGTAAGTGGTTGCTGTGACATATACACATCCACATCTATCCTCGATTACGAATCAAAATGCAGATGCGTTGTCATCCGTGAGGACTAAGATGGAATGCATTGTTTCCTTGAAAAATGGTCTCCGGTTCTCTACACTCAATACGAAATACAGCATATCCATTCGTGCTACAAGTATACCAATAATCTACCTGCAGCATGGCTCTACCACGTAAAAAAGACCTTATGTCTCTTTAAAGTTTAAATTCGAGTGAAATCCAACTCTACTGGTTTGCTATCAAAGGCGTTCCCATAAATATTTCGTGTGTTTGAGGACACTATGCTTCATTACGTGTGCCTCATTACGTGTTTAGTTATTAATACCCTCTTTTAGTCCACTGGTAGGTATACGCCTTTTCAATAATGTGTCTGCACAACCGTAACTTACAAGATTTGCATAGCAGGTTAGTGAACGTAGAGTATAAACCCTCCTACTGGTAATTTACGAGATGGGCAACACATCCGTATTCAGTGAAATTTGGGTCCAGTGTTACTGGATGAATTTCCTGCCATAAGTCAGTCGCTTGAACTTCGATGCATTCGATTAATCGGATAGGTACAGCGAGCAGGAGAAGTTGAAATTTGGAGAAAAAGAGGACTTATTTGGGCCCCAGCATTCACTTCATTTGTCACACTTCATCCATCCATAACAGCCTATCACATAAATAAATATAATAATATATATGGAATAGGATAGTGGATTTTATCACGTCGCCAATATACTTTTATTTCTGTAAAAAATAAATTGCATTACCAACAGTCAGTCAAGTTTATCATATATGTTGTACAGTTTATAATAGAAGACTTTTATAAGACTTACTAAAACAAAGATCTTGATGCAGTAGTACTTTGACAGCACAATCCAATTCTCATTTTATGATACGATTATAAACTGTTCTATATGAGCTCGTCACGGTGCTCTAAATGCCGGTAGTTAGTAGAACATTATTTAAAAAAAACATGCGTGAGTGTCGTGGAACACTAGGTTGGAACGAAGTACATTTCGTTGTATATTATTATTGATAAACGTATTATAAGGTACGTGAGGGTTATATGCTCATCCGGTTAATATGTCACTTTCTTAATAACTCCAAAACTACTACCTTATTTGCAAAGATCACTGTGATACGATAGCTCTCCATCAGTCAATCAAATAATAAAGCGTCAAAAGGGAGCTGCTTTATCATCACCATTTTGACGGCTGATATTATAGTAAATATTTTCTTAGATTTTAGTATTGTGTAGTGTATTAAGTTGATTTTTCGAAATGTTCCTAATGATTGCCAATGCTTTTTTGTTCTTTTTTTTTAATATATAACTTCTAGTATTCGACTTTGTGTTTTCTGTCTCTGTCGACTACCTAGTTATGGTTATATAGGGCGACAAAGCTTAAGGTGACCATATTACCCTCGCGTACCTTACTATTGAATAACAAATACAAATAAATGAATTACTAGCGTCTATTAAAATTAAGTGTCATTTAAAATAAAATAATATTTCTTTAATAGCAAGATAAGAAAAAGTGCTTCTGACATAGTGTAGCCGCCAAGGCCGTCTATGTCAGAAGGGATCTTGACGGAAACATCTTACACTTCTTCTCGCCTATGCCCCATCCGCCAAATTCATACCGTCCGATAAGGAACTTCGTTCCAAAAATATGTCTGGATTGTGCACATTTCATACAGTGAACACTATTTAACTTTAATTATTATTCTATTTTCCTAAGTGCCTTGCGAATATTTTATCAACCACTAGTTATATAACAACAGACAACCTATTTTAGAAAACAATACGAGAATACACCGGGAAGATTTGCGAACCCAATTTAAATATGAAAGTGAGAAGTGAAACGACTTAAAGCGGTCCACAATGCAAAACAAATTATTATTTGTGAAGGGGTCGACCCCACCCCGGTTTAAACATTGTTCTCAGTGAACACGCGTCACAATTCTCGAACCGTTCCTCGTTTAACTATTTTAGCCTTCACAATAACGGTTAATTTGCTATATTTTTTTGTAAATTCCCACATTTATTTTTATTCATTAATAATATAATTTTTACTAGAATAACATTTCACCTTATTTATAAGTTTATAAATAACTTCGAATACTTATAACAGTTTTAATTATTTACAAATTAATGTTTATTATTTCCGATTTATTGCTATTTTGTTAGTTTTTAGGGTTCCGTACCCAAAGGGTATCCAACGGGACTCTATTACTAAACATGCGCTGTCCTTCCGTCCGTCCGTCAATTAGTGTTGCCCAAAATCGGTCTTGGTCTTGCAGTCTTGGTCTTGTTCTTGCATTTTTGCAAGACCAAGACCAAGAACAAGACCGCCTCTTTTTAGCAAGACCAAGACCAAGACTGACCGTGCAAGATTTGCGCAAGAACAAGACTTAGCTTGCGAGACTCTTGCGTCTTGCAGTTAGGACTAAGTGTCGTTTCAGGGAGTATAGGAGTTCGGGTATACGCTTAGGGACTCTATGAGACGCAAAAAATATAATGAAAAAAAAAATTGGAAAATTGGACTTATGCGCATTACGAACAATACCATAAATATACATAGCGAATGAAAATATCCATTAAAAGAAAAAAGAGTGCATCCCTAGTTTTGACCATCGGCACTTTGATGGTGCGCGGCGTCTTGTTGTCGGCGTCATCAAAGGTCGGATACTGACCTGTCAAAGAAATTGTGCAGCTATTCGAAAGTACAAGGTCAAGATACACGTGCCGGCGGCTACTATTGATATCGCATAATCGTCGCCGCCGCGCCACACGCACTACATTTGACACTGTTTGATTGCTGCCACAGAGTGCATGTTTCAAAGAATAAAATAAGTTTCCAGGTGCTCAGAATGGACACGAATACATTATCCTGATCTCGCAAGAAATCTTGTAATTAGATAATAGGTAGGTATCATAATAATTTATTTCTAGTAAGTAATTATTATAAAATTAACTATATGGATTTATAATAATTACTTACTATTATTGTTATTATTATTACCTAAAAGATAAACATGTTCAGTAAGTTCACTGCAAATCTCGACTTTTGCAAGTGTGTGTTTTTAAAACACAAAGTGCTCGAATATGTCGTCACACATTTGATAAATATTTGTTGACACCAAAGCACTTTTAAAACACTTGAAATGTGTAAAAATGGATCTGTATCTTGTCTTCAAGGCTTAGTTATTAAGGAGTTGGAGGGGTACCTAGGTAAACCCAGAGCTGTCATCTCGGAAGACATTTTAGACTGTTGGAGGACGCATGAGAAAAAATATCCGATTTAATCGAAGATGGCCCGTGATTTTCTTTTAATACCTGCAACTTCAGTACCTGCTGAGAGATTATTTTCTAAAGCATCATTAGTAATTAGAAAACATAGAAATAGGTTAAGTGATGAGTCAGCCAGATGGTTACTTTGTATTAATGCTTTGTCAAAAGAATAAATATAAAGTAACAGTAATGTCAAAGCTGTTGTGTACATACTGTGAAGTAATTTAATTTGCATCGTATTTTGTTTTTTATTTAAATAAATGGTATATTGTATAACTCTTTTATTCCATTTCATATATGGTGAGGGTCCATCAATCTCTTTCTAGAGAGATAATGTTATTAAAATACAGTGTAGTTATTGCCATTAATTTGTTTTTATATGTATGTTTAACCATGTTTTAGCACATGTAAGCTTATTAAATGTAAACGTTTATTAAGAAACTGACGCCCGTGGCCGTGGGACACGGTAGATAGCTCAGTTGGTTAGAGCATCGGCACGGATCGCTTAGGTCGTTGGTTCAAACCCCACCCGGTGTCAGTTGATTTTTCGAATTTCTCATTAAATGTTTAGACATTTATTAATATGGTTGGTCTTTACTATGGCTATGTTAATTCAAGCTCAATATGTATC